AAGCCACACCACGAGCACCGCGTCTTCTCTCGGAATCGAGATCGGCTTGCTGTCGCAGTCTCCACGCGTTCTACGGCCGCGAAGCGTTCGAAAGGGTGGGTCGCGCGACCTCGACAGTTCCACGCGAACACCAAGTCTCCCAGGACGCGTTCCTTAAGTTCTCCAGAAAGGGACAAATCGAGATAGAAGATTGTACGATCGTTTGATATTTCGTTGTTCTTTCGTTAATTTCTTGATTCGTTCTATAGTGCGATATAACAGCTAGAATTAGAAGATTCAGAAGGGCGGTTTAGTAGAAAATTCACGATACATTGATATTTCAGTTGAAATTATATCGCGTTAGAAAGGAAACGTTAAGTATTCTATTATTGCAGAAAATTTCGAGACTTAGTTTCGTTCACTGAGGATGACAGTGGTTTAACGCTTGCAAAATTCAGAGGGATATTTAGAAGCTTCGAAAGAAGGTTTTGGAAGGACGATCGAAAGCGTGCGCCGATTTGTTGGTGGCGCGCGGAATCGGCAACTTTGTAACAGTGGCAATCGGAAGTGATAATGCGCATAGGAAATCAAGACAGTGATTAATAGTGAGTAATTACATATGAAACGCAAATAAAGAAGACAAACAGAGAAGAGTAAAACGTCACGGACTGCGTAGTTTTATGAGACATTGGTTTTAACTAGACAGAGCATCGATTAGCCGACAAGATGATAGAAGAGGCTGCGATGTTCGACGTAAGTAGAAGCTGACAACCGACTAATCGCGTACCTTCGGATAGTAAAAGATGTACAACAGAACTGCAAACGCAGATAGCTATCATTAACAATTCTAATCGTCAAGCCGATTAACGTCTTATTAATTACTTAAATGGAGAATAAAGATGAAATAGTTCGGAAAGAGGCAAGAATCAACAACGATGGTGACCATCGCAGTTGTCGTGTTGTTTCCCTCTTTCTTTCGGTGCCTGATAACTCAAAATAGAATTGAATGTTAATCAACAGATATAGAGCGTTCGCGCCGCTTGACTTATTGCCGGTATCACCAAGAAACCAGCCCGATTAATCTCAAACAAGCAACTCTCGCAACAATAAACAATCCCGTTACGTTACTCGTGAATCGATCATCTTTTTGTTTTTGTTTCTAGCTGTCATCGTTGCAACGATCCTCTTCGATCTTCCATATGACGAATTCTCTTGTTTTTCTTTCTTATTTTATCTTATTTCTTTGTTTTCGTCACAGATGACGGACGAGTTGTTGTTCTCCGCGTTGGGCCTGACCATGGACACAGGTGTCGAGAAGCAACTGTTCTCCACGAATTCCACGAGTTTCGCATGCGACTACGAGGCATCTTCTTGCAGAACGACGCCACGCAGCGATGACTCGGAGACCGTCGATCAATCGAATAATATAGGGAACACGATCGAGTGTTACACGGATCTGACTTGTCCGGCAAAGACATCTTGGAACGAGTGGTCTGATAACAATTCAACGCCACTGTCAGGTAGCTAGTGACAAGGAGATAGATGCTCTTTTAGCGTTCATAGGGTAGGTTGAACGATGATTGACAAACGCTGTTTCTGTCAGGTACAGGATGTCTAAGCGAACTAAGCGAACTGAGTGAGTTAGACTCGGAGTTGGAATGGTGTTTAGACAGAAGCTGGAACTCGGGTCTTCCAGACAGGACACCGTTGTGTACAGCAGGCTGCGAGGGTTTTCTACACCTTCCTCTGCCCAACCCACAGCAAACGTTTCAACGAGAGGAACCATTATGGGTGCTTGGGATCGATTTGAGAGCCCTCGATGATACCTTGGAAACCAGCGGTATAGGTAAGCTTCGAACACCTTCCAGAATTATCGTACTAGAGAAAGCTGTTGGATTGAAATCGTGTCTGTCTTCTGACCGAGTTGTCCTAAAATTTCGAGAGCAAATTTATGAAATAATTCATCGTAGCTTTTTTAATGTACCTTAAAAAATGAAGAAATTGTTTCAATTCGGAATCATTCAGCAAAAATCGTTTCTATTGATTTAAGATTATAACAATAATCAAGTAGAAGAAAATATTTCGTCAGCAGCTGCCGCGGCACTAGCAACCCACGACTACACTAATCGCAGTTTGGCGAACGCGGCTGAGGATCGATGCTTTCCTTGCACTTATCAAGGATGCGTCAAGGTACGCTATATCTGATCAATGTCCCAATAAGACAATCGAAGACTATATTTACCAATTTTTAAATATTAGAATTGAGAAAATAAAAATCTAACAACTATTTTTCCAGGTCTATGCAAAGGCGTCCCACTTGAAAGCTCACCTACGTCGGCACACAGGCGAGAAACCATTTGCCTGCACGTGGTCCGGTTGCGGATGGCGTTTCAGCCGATCCGATGAACTAGCCAGGCATAGACGATCGCATTCAGGCGTAAAGCCTTATCCATGCGAAATGTGCTCGAAGAGGTTCGCGCGCAGCGACCACTTAGCCAAACATCGCAAAGTGCACAGAAAGAACGCTTACCCATTGTTTCACGGGGGAAGAGGGCTACGCGGAGAAAAGATGAATTCCATTCTACCAGCGGAGATTTAGTCAATTTATCTTATATAATATAACTGACGATGATGGTATTGAGCGTCGGAAGAATTTTCTTTCGGATTTCTCGAATTTGCAGCTTCGTTGCTTCCTTGCGATGATATTTAATCGGGAAATCGGGAAGAAAGTGTTTAGTTCTCGATGCGTGCAAATTGTGGAAAATGATTTCCGTGTTGAAGTTTTAGAGAGAAAATATAATTCAAACTGAATTAAGTGACAAAATTTATAATGCGACAATAAATTGTTGAAAATACGATAAATTGTTTGTTGATTATTTAATACGATTTAAGCGAGTAATTGTAAAATACAACATTAGTTAGAACCAAACTGTGAAAACCTCAAGTTCTTGATAAAGACTATTGCTAGATATACCAAAAATACGCCTAATCATCGTCGCAAATGTGCCTCAGTATCATATATATATATATATCATCAAAAGTGAGAGTTTTTATGCAATAAATGGAATTTCAGACTTACCGTATCCTTGGAGAAGGGCCTTCGAGGATTGATAATTTTGCTGCGTTTCCTCCACGTACCCCAGTAAGGTGGACGTTGATTTTCAGAAAATTGTAGCAATTTAGGTCGTCGCATCTCTACAATAACATTTTGTTTCACAATGTTCGAGCTGCCATCGTTTTCTTCGTCTACGAGGAAACGACATGTGATTAACTATGATGTACAATTATATGAATGATTGATAAGAAAGAATAATGTTTACCTAATAAAATTACGTCATCTTTCGTTTCGAGCGGCCAAGTTTTCGACGATTTGCGTGGAATTGTTCTTTTATCCTTAATCTCACTAAGATACAAATCTGCCATTTGTGTGCTTCCTTCATTGCACATTTTGTCCAATAACAATTTCTCTTGTTCGGTTAAGAATCTTCTACAGACTTTAGCTATCTTCATATCTCCCTTTACCTCAAAAGGCATGAAATTCTTCACTTCATTCGTGCTTTCGTCTTCGACGGATTTTTCTTGTTTCTTAGCAACGAAAAAACTGGTGAAAGTCGTGGCTGCCTTCTGTTTCTTGCGCTCTGCTTCCAACTTTTCTTCCTCTTTTCTTTTTTTTTCCTCCTCCTTAGCTTCTTCCCTTCTTCGACGTTCCTCCTCCTTTGCCTGTCTTCCTTTCTGTCTTTGTCTGTAAATACATATTACTGAAAACTAACAACTATATATTTTTACAAAGTTATGAATGTTACAATAGTAAATATCCGTACTCGATCTCCATTTGTTTCCTTTGTTCTTTCCTTTTCTTTTCCATTAATTTTTGTTCTCTTTCAACTCTCCCCCTTTCCTCTTTTTGTTTTCGTTTCTCTTCCTTTTCTTTTTTCCGATTTTGTCGTTCCTCCTCCAATTTCTTTTCCTTCTCCTAATAAATAAATGAAATGATAAAATTAACTGATAATTAAATTAACAAAATAAAATATCTGCGCTATAAGTGTCCCAATTTACCATTTTCAATCGTTTCTTCTCTTCTTTTCTTCTAGCATTTAATAATCTCTTTTCTTCTTGTTTAGGCGTTAATTTCTTCAGCTTTGTTTTGTCTATTTTGGGAGTTTTGATAGTTTGCGATGTACCAGGTGTATCTGTCATCGTATTTGTAGATGACTTGGCTTCTTCGTCTTTCTCTTCGGTATCAGAGGATAAAACTACAAGATCGGAATCAGACTGACACAAAGAATTATTGGCAACTGAAAGTAAGCCTTCTACTTTATTGCTTAGATTATTGGTTGTCCCTGGTGTATTTATATTGGTTTTAGTTGCTTTGTTAGAACTCTCCTCAACTTCTTCTATCGAATCATTGTTCTCCTCTTGGAAAGAAATTTCAGATTCCTCTTTTGAGGCATCTTTTTGTTTATCAGTCTTTTGAAGGAACTTTGTTAAAGGACTTGACTTTAATTTCTCCTGTTTCTCTAATTTTTTCTGGCCAGTTACAATTTGTTTCGAAGTTCTGGTTTTACTGCTAGCTTTTTCTTTACTAAATGCATTTTCTTTTGCATTTTCAGTTTCTGTGGGTGGATCCTCTATTATTTCTATAATATCGATATCTTTGTTTTCTGTATCGACACTCGTGCTATTCGGTTCACTATTTACACTATCCTTACTTAAATTATTCTTTAAAATTTTCATGACTTTCGGACTTTTACTTTCCATAGAAGGTGATGCCAATTTCCTCTTTCTACTGTGCACAACATTTGGTGACTGTACTGGACTTCGCATTTGGAATGGTAATTGTGCTACATTGAAATTTCAAATTACATATTTTACATGCATAAATTTCCCATTTTGTTACATTATATTTTTATAATAACTATAATGACAATACTGTAATTATTAAAAATTAAATACCTTGTTTCATTTTCTTTCTTTTGACAGAAGTTACTTCCAAACAGCAATCATCTTGTTCATTGCTATCCATTGTTTTCATCTCAGAAGTCCTTATGAGAAAGAAACACGAGATTAAAATAAATCTCAATTGAATACTTAATTGATAATAAAAAATAAACGAATAAAAAAGTATATCGTGACATTATCTTACTTAAATATATCTAAATATCAAAGTCTTTTTTACAACATTACATCAACTGACAAGGTTGACGACGAAGCTGTCAATGATACATTGTTATAACCTAACAATAATTTATCAGATAAATGTAGGTAATATGAGAAATAGAAAAACATGAATTAAATATGTATGAATTCCAAAATAAAAATAATATATATATACACTAAAATTAAACTATTAAAAGAACTATTTTCACAAATACAGTATGTTGATAAAACATTACTGCCGAATTACAATTGTAACAAAATCGGCGGGAAAATAGAGCATAGAAAAGGACAAATTTCAGATGATGAGATTTTCCATGAACTTTAATTTTACTAGATGAGCGACTTTCAATGAATATTAGAAGCCATTTAACAAAGAACTTGATCAATCAGTGGTTGGTTAGAATTTAACCAATAAAAACTTCATATTTCATTTATTATTAAATTTATAAATTGGAAATACAGATTGTGTATTTATACCATAAATTAATTATTCTTTTAGTTTCTTGTTTTATTTATAAAATTGTCCGATTTTCATGAGTGTTATATATATTTAGTGATTATTTAAGAATACATTTTGCGGATGTTAATATTCATACAGCTGAACTATCATGCTCGTTAGAGAGCGCGAAAGATTACAGATAACAATTGGAATGCAAATATAACTTTAATTGTACAGCAACTTGCTCGAAATATTAATTATTTAAAATATAAAAAAAAAGATTCGAGAAACTATCCTCTTTTTTAGGTTTTGTCCTAATCCTTCTCCCATATTCCAAAGTCATCCTCTTAAACATTTATGATTCAATTGTCAGTTAGATTCTATTTCATTGACCGCATATTCTTTCTGATTTCACTGCAGCTTCGAATCGTCGAACTTGCTTTATAGTAAAGCCAAATTTAGGCAGTAGAAATCACAAAGAATAATCGTATTTATTGTTAATTAACTATATGTACAGACGATTTCAAAATTCGTTCCTACTTTATATATCGATATCGGTAAACGTAAAGTCAAGTTCATGCGATACTGTAAAGAAAGAACAACCGCGTACATATACACGTACGTATTTACTTCCTCCGCCAGATGACTCGCTGATAACTTTACCTGACTTTACATTCGTTCGATGAGTATCGGATACCGATCGGGCTGTTTGCGAAACCGTTTGGTCAATAAGAAGCTCCTCGTGAAATTTGAGATAGCAGAATGTACGTACATGTGACGCGAAAGGTGTATCGTGTATCGGTCCGGTACGCGGCCTGTGCTCAATAATTCCATCAAAAAAGGAAACGTTCACGACGATGAAATTCTGTGACAAATAAGGAGAATAAGAACAGTGCTGACATACCTGAGTCGCAGGAGAAACAGCAAGTTATTGCAGAATATCCTTTCCACAGACGAAAGAAAAAAAGGTCAACACTTGTCTGCATTGTATGCGATGTGCCGGCGACCCACCCTCGCTCACTGTTTATCCTTTAAGTACAAATCTAACCCTTTACTACGTATTCGAGGGTAGCATGCCGCATACTATGCAAATCTACCATCACCGTTGTCATTACCTAGGAGGTAAGATATGATATCATCGTAATAGTAGTCACAGATGTATTTACAGATATAATCGGAAATCATCTCATCAATATTGTGAAATAATTTAATCTTATCATGGAGTTGCCTTTTATTAATTGTCTTGATGTTTAACGGTTATATTGCCCCCTCCTTGGGATAACTACAAGAATTATATTCTTTTGTAATTATATATGTATCAACAACTTCGGTAGAGAAGTAAGATTCTTCCATGTAATAACGTGATTCGAAAATTTCTCAATAATGGGAAAGAATCGTTCATTGTGACGTTTATCATTAGTCCCTGACGCGAATACCGAATCGATTGTCAATATGCTCGATGTACGCCATAATACACATCGTATTTACAACGCGGTATACACGGTGAATACAAACGATGAATTGATTACTGTAGGTTAAATTGAATAATATTAATCGTCAGACGAAGGACATTCGTACGTTATAACGTTAGCAACTTTTTACTTGATAATGTTTTATATTTTCGATCGATGTAGTTTATAAGGTCAAATAAGGGGAATCGTGAAGATTTTCATTTATAATATGGTCTATAGAAGTATTAATAATTTAATAAGATGTCATGTGACAAAGTACCAATAAAACTGATCGTAATATAAATTTATAAAAGTCATAAGTATTTATGTAAATATCTATTATTCTTATTTAAATATGTAAAGAACTTGTTATGCTAGGAAATTAAACATGTTTTAATATAAAAGATATACGAAAATTTTTTCGAGTTTATTTATTAATAATAAATGACTATATAAATGGTACTTTGATATTTAAATAATAGGATAAAAATTATTAGGGAAATGAATAATGTTTAGAAAGATTTTAGAAAATAAAATTTAATAGAGCAATATATTGTTACTGTTTCAGTTACATTTTACAAGATAAATCAATTTTAAAAATTTATTTTTGGACACAGACCTTTCTTGTATCTATAGCCTGATTTCCAAGTTAATATTAATAAATTCAACATGTATGCATTAAAAATACAAACTGCCTGTCAAAGTGAGGGTAGTGGAGAACCTGATGATCCAAGTAGTCATCATCAAGAACCTGTTAGACCTCCGGCACAGGATTGTAGTTCATTTGACATTGTTAGAGCAACTCAGGTAATTAAATTTCAAATACTATTATTTGGCTAATTATTTGCTTAGGCATTGAAAAATATTTATTATTTGGGAAATTAATTTTTTACAGTATGGAGCTTTGGATCGTGTGACTGAATTAGTAGAAGCTGGTGCTGATGTAAATCAGCCAGATTCAGAAACCGTAACATTATTGCATTGGGCAGCAATAAATAATCGAAAAGACATAGTAAAATATCTAATTGCAAAGGGAGCTGTTGTTGATGCAATCGGTGGTGAACTTGCTTCCACACCACTACATTGGGCTACAAGGTTAATTTTAAATTATGATTCAAGTCGATTTTATGATGGAATCTAATGAATCTTTTAGCAAATAAAATAAGTTGTTGTTTCCAGACAAGGTCATTTATCTACAGTTGTGATATTAATGAGAGCAGGAGCAGATCCAACTCTTAGAGATTCTGAAGGATTTTCATGTATTCATTTGGCAGCTCAATTTGGTCATACCTCTATTGTAGCTTATCTAGTTGCAAAAGGAGTAAATCCAAATATGCCAGACAGAAGTGCAATGACACCCCTCATGTGGAGTGCCTATAAAGTTAATAGGTAAGTGTGAAAGAAAAATGAAAATATCTATTTGTGAAAATTTTAGAATTACATTATATTGTTTACTTTGAAGTTCTTCCTTTTACAGTTTAGATCCAACACGCTTGTTACTGACTCTAGGAGCGTCTCATTTGCTCGCAGATAATTTACATGGTAATACTGCTTTGCATTGGGCTATTATAGCTGAGAATAGTACAGCTATATCAACGCTAGTCCATCATGGTGCATCTTTGGATCGACCTAATGTTCTATATGAAACACCAATGACATTATTGGATCGTCATATTGGTGCTGCTTGGTTAGGACATAAAATCAGTCAAGAAATCAGAGAAAAACAGGGCAGAACACGAATATGGTGTAGGGATAAGGTGTGCACTCTAATTATTTTTATCTAATTTCGCTCTTTAAAGTTATATTTCTTGCAGAGAATACGCTGGTATTGCATGGTCAGTACACCATTTATAGTTTTTTATCTTATTGGAATGATTTTTCAAAGTGGATTGGATTATCTAATAAAAATAGGTGCCTTTATCACTCTTTATATAGCACTGTATTTAGCTAATCATTTTATCTTTGACGAACGATTATTTCATATTATACCAATGTCAATCTATTTGGCTACAAAGGTGAGTATTCAAAAGGACGTATCATATTTATTATTACTAGATCCTTTATATTAAAGTCTTAGAATTAAATAATGTTACAAATCTGTGTAGAGAGAAGTGACTGAATTATATCAGATATGAACTTTTACATAACTGATACAAGTGACTTATCACAATACGTGTTAGATACAAGTGCCTTATCACAAGACATAAGAAAGCTAAATTAATATTATTAAAAATAGCATACAGATTTAGTGTTCTTTCAATAACTTTTTACTTTATATGCAACTTGTATAACATTAGCATCTTCATAATCAACATCTTTTACGATCATTTGTTACAGATGTGGATATATATAACATGGATATTTTGGTTAGGCATACATGCTGCATGGTATCTATGGTTACTATTAGTAGGTGGATCTGTACCACTCTGGATATGTTTCTTACAATCCTGGAGGGGTGATCCAGGTGTAATTACAGCTACACATGAGGATAAGTTAAATGTAACAGTCTGTATATTACGATTACATTATTTGTAGATGAAGTGTATTTTTCAATTTTTCATTGTTTTCAGACAATTATAGAATTAGCAGAGTCTGGTGGTTTTGAACCACAATCATTTTGCAGCAGTTGCTTGATTAGAAGACCAATGAGATCTAAACATTGTTCTACGTGTGATCGATGCGTTGCACGCTTTGATCATCATTGCCCTTGGATTAATAATTGCATTGGTATGTCAAAAAACTTATGTGGAAGATGGTTTTATTATGTTAATAACATATATAACTAGCACAGTTTCAAATTGCATTAGCTTTAGACAATCTAATTTCAAATAACGCAGTTGTACTTACAATTTTTAACATCCGTTTTTTCTTTTTAAAAACTTAGGTGCGCATAATCACAAGTATTTTCTGGGATTTTTAGCATCATTATTAGGCCTCTGTATTGTTATTTTATCCGCTAGTGCACAGTATTGGCAATTTGAGTGTTGGACAAATTTAACAAAAGGGCATACTGCTGATAATTATCTAGTTACTACGGCTACATGCGATGCTTGGGTAATGTGGGTTGCAGCAAATACGGCCCTTCATTTCTTTTGGGTCGGCACGCTACTCGCGTGTCAATGTTATCAGGTTTGTTCATTTTATCTTCTTTAGGTCTACATAATCAACCGAGTTACGACAATTTATTTTCTCACCATAATATATATTTTTTATTTACTAGATTATGGTTCTTGGAATGACAACAAACGAACGTATGAACGCGGGACGCTATGCTCACTTCAAACAAGGGAATCCTTTCCATCGTGGCGCTCTTCAAAATGCGGCTGATTTTTGTAATTTAAGTTTCTGTGGAGTAAAAGCAAAGCCCAGCTCAGACTGGTTACATAGTTTCGATCATAAACAAAGCATCGAAAAGTTGCCTCTACTTGCTACGAAAGACAACTTCCAATATATTTAGAATTTTTCTTAAGGGTCGCAGAACTGTCATGGAAGATAATGTAATTTTGCCATCAGAAGCTAACATAGTGTGTCATATCATTTGCGCCTGGAGTATACTTCTGAATTACCAAAGAGTTACTACAAAATTGGAAGTGACTTTTAAGGAAGGTAGTGATTTTGCATATACAGATTTAAATTGCATAATATAAGTAATTTCTTACATTTAATGAAATACAAATTTTAACATTCGTCTACCGTAAAAGACTGTTCTACGACGTAAGTATGCATATCCCACATTTGTGTACTCTTCGTTTCAAATATGAAACAGAAGAACACGTTGCACAAGTACTTTGACTCTATTTTTACAACAAATTATGAACCAAGATTCCTTTTTGTCTTCGTATATTATCTCTACAGTTTACTTCTTACTTTCGATAAACGAAATGCTAACATAATTGATTAAAATGTAGTTTAGTTTACGTCGCATTGTAAATATCTATACTTTTCATGGGATTGTAATGTCACAAAACATAAATATGTTAATATTCTCTTTTTTTCAATTACAAGTTTTTAAGTTTACTTTAAATGTTATAAATTCCAACGAGTATCAGATTTAATCCATAAATAATTTATTTGTATAAGTACAATTCTGATCATGTTGGAAAACAGTAATATCTTTATACAAAAAGAGCCATGACAGTCAGTTGTATAAGATCATTATATAATCGACGTTATTTATTACAATTATTTGTACTTTGTAGTTTTTATTGTTCATGATAGAAACATGAGTATTCATATTAAATTTGAATAAAATTCAGAATATGTAAAAAAGTTATTAAAAGGTATTACTAACGAAAAGTATGGCATATTTATATTTAATAATTACTGGATCAATTTCAATCCAAAAAATAAATCAAACGTTGTGCAACATTATTGTAAGTAAAATTACATTGCATATTATTGTTGGCAATTTAATCCGTTTTTTCGTACTTATGAATAAGTTTACCTGACTTAAGTGCCATGCTTGTACTCTTCAAAAGACATGCGTATACTATACGTATTTAAACTCGTATATATATATGTGTGTGTATATATATATATATATATATATATATATACACATACATATATATACACATATATATACACATAAGTATTTATTTATGCTCTTTGTAAGATTTGATTAATGTTGTCTGTTGTATCTAATCTATTACTACATTATGTAAAAACCATTTTAAACGATAGCAATATAGGATAGTCTATAACAATTGTTTATAATGTCTGTTTTAATAGATGTCATACTTTGATAATGTCATCAATTTCAAAAAATTATATTATTATGCGTAGAAATACCAAATATAAAATAAGAGAGGAGCCTGATACATTTTTGTACAATTACAACGTGTGACGACAGTTACTAATAGAAAATAATTGTGAAATGTTACTTTACATTCCAGAAACGTACTTCGGTGTATAACTGTGAGTTTCTTTTTCCTCTTTAACTTTAGCGTGTGATTAAAAATGTATGCTCATGCTTTTAATTCGTTTGTCAGCATCGTTGACATGCGTAAACGATTGGAGTGCATTGTTAAGGTTGCAAGTTGCTATGTCAATTCCACTTTCTAACATTCTTAGTCGTAATTATCAAATACTAATACTATGAAAGTTGTGTTGCGCGCACAATTAAAGAAGGAAACCAGACATTCTACAATTGATTGCATCCTTAACAGCATAGGACTCAATTTAATTTTATTAAGATATAATTTAAAATAAAAGCCCATGTTACGAATATCTTCGTCAATGATCCCGTTTAACCAGTTATTAAGTATAAGTATTAAATACTCAAGCTAAAGAGAGTGCATGTGTTTTTTACATTGCATTCCCAATAGGTGCCTAAATATCCAATTATGTATATTACCTTGTATGAATTTATAAAAAAGACACTCTGTGGATCGATCAAAAGTGGTTTAAAGATACTTTAAATTTAAGTTTTTATTCGTTAAGTAATCTTCAATATGTTCCGAATAATTGAGCATAGACAAGCGTCGTGCCATAGTTTATTAATTTTATCTGTATAACAACCGAAGATAACGATTAGGTCGTTTCATCAACTGTATTATTAGATTCTTCGAGTTTACGTTATAGTAACAGTTTATATGCAAGTCATTTAATTTCATTATGCATATAACTGAACTTAATTTTAGTTTGATAATTTGGCAATTTTCTTCGAAAGTCTTTGATATAAGAATACGCATGTACAGGACGAAATTAATATTTGGTACATTTATCCGACTCTTCTTTGTTAAAAATAAGTTTTCAATTTTGATTGCTTGTACAGAATGTTACGAGGTGTTTGTACAAAACATTGAGACACACATATATAATATCATATAATATATAGAATCGACCGTGCGATGATATTGAAGAATGAATACTCTATGTCAGAATTATTACAAGAAACACGACGCGTATAAATATTATAAATACAAATGTTAGTTAGATGTAATTACTTGACAACAAACTATTAATTACTTATAGAATGAATGTGTTAATTAAGTCAAGCATATAATTTCTCTCGAATGTATGGTATACGTTTAGTATTTATTCATATTTCCGATCTAGTCCAATTGATATTAAGGTAAACTGGTATGTAGATTATGTTTACTTCCTATGAGCGACAAGACACAGTCGATTTATGTATGGCAAGCAATTTCTCTTGTTTTTCAAAGTGAGTGAGTCGGAAACAAAAGAAGGATTGTGTAGTTAATGACGCAATATCAACGAATACAAACATTGAGAAACTGTATTATAACATTTTGAGAAACATACAAATAAGAAATAGATAAATACAAGACAGGAAAGTTTTTATAATAATTAACATTTTTAAACATTTAATTTGTAAATTGCAAGAATTGTTTGCTTCGAAAATGTATAAGGAAGTTGAATTAATGAATTAAGTATACAGATTAAGATTTGAAAAAAAGCAGATATTTAGAAATATGTGAGCATTTGAACGTTTAGATTCTAGTTAATCTAGTTTAGATTCTAGTTAAGTTTTTCGTGAAAAACTATTAAATATAGTTGTAAAAACTTTTTGTCTGACTTGTTACGACTTTGAAAAATTATGGAACTCCTCGCAAACATAGATCAGTTTACAGCTGTTGTATCGAATCATATTAGGCTAATTATAACACTCTACTTCTGATTCAATCAATGTAAATAATAATCTTTTACTTCTAACGGCGTTTTAAGAACAAATAAAGTTTAAAAAAATCAAAGTATCGGAGATGTAAACATTCTTGGTAATTAATTGCAAAATTCAATTATAGTTACTATACGTTGTATAACAAATAAAAAATATATATATAAATGATTAATTTATCGACTATTATTGTTTTACTATTTACATTTTCATTCGATCAGCGAAATATATTTCTGTGAATTTTTTCTTTTAAAGAATTCGACCTTATCAAATTCTCGAGCATTGAATATTGCCAACAGTCAAAGGATCACAAATAATTATGGCATTACAAACATATGAACGTAATTAAATGTTCTAGTTGCTGTCACTTGACAGTTTAATTTTGTTTTAATTCGTGTTACGTTAATTTCAAGTTTTATTAAATTTCTTTTCAAGAAATGTGTTTATCATGGTTTCTGGAGAAGATTGTTCATATACGGACGCAACAGAATCTTCTAACATAACATCTCTGCAGACAGAATCTACTTATTCGGTTAATGCCAATGTTAAGGAACCTCTTTGTGACCCTGTGAATAGAGAGGACGATCCTTTTCAACAACTTAACTGTAGGTACACCAGGAATTTAATCATTTAAACAGCTAGAATTCAGGTATAAATATCGCACTTATTAAGTTAAAGACTGTAAATGTCGAGAGATACATTCAGCTGTACACCACGGAGCATCTCTGGAACCGTGCAAGAAAGATTCACCGAAAGAGAAGAGTTTGGTAGAGCCGTCTTCAAGTCCATGTTTATGTCACGGTCACAAGATGTAATACAAGTATTCCCATTCTATTTAACAATTATTAATTAACCACATTTTTTACTTTCTAGCAGAACTTATACTTTACCTTTGAAGTACAGAGATGGTAATCACATCAGCCTCTTAAATTATTTATCCTATCACTAACAAGGTGACTTCTTTGATTTTTGTTTTATATTAATCTTATTGATAATATCATATATTCCTTATTAATTGAAACACATTGCGTTTAATATAATTTATTTCAGTTAATACAATCTAAATGCTTTGCTGATTCTTTTTTTCTCCATCTATTTCCATTTCACTCGAAATATGACTTTTTCAGATAAATCACGACTATTTTGGTGTCCCTTTAAGTGGAAGTGGCCAAGGAAGGAATACTTAGAAAGCAAAGACAAATCATACAAAGTGAAATTAACACCAAAGAAATGTCCCCATTATGCGGAGGTAGAGCACAATATACACATTAATAGAATAACATTATTTTATTTTTCCTTTTATTCTTAAGTACGAACATTAAATATAAAAGGTATATAAACAATTGGTATACTTAATGCGGATAACAACACACTTCATTTAGCCCTTCATGTGCTGTGAAATATCAGAAGGGATACCAAATAAAAAGAAACACGATGCGCCAGAATCAGTCAATACACCACCAAAGACGGAAAAGAAAAAAGTAGAAGTAACTGAGAAAATCGACATCTATTATTTCGATCATGGGAACTCTGCGTAGGTACAACTATATATATTTCAATAGATTTCTTTTTATCATTTATAATTTTTATTATGCAGCCAATTGCTCTTACATAATCGTTCGATTTTATATCGTCTAACAACAAAAAACCAGAAAAATACAAGCATTTAGTTTCCAAATGACGATAATTAAACTTAAAAACTTAAGATTTTTCGATTCTTAAATTCTAATCAAAATGTTATTGTTAAAAATATATATAAAAAAATAATAAATGCAAAAAACAAAGTTTATATATATATATATCATCGTTAAGAAATTTAAAAAAACTTTGACCATCACGTTAGCTATTTTACAGTCGTACACGTTCGTTAAGACGTAAGATCCTTCACAATCTTCACAGATATTATCAAACGACGGATTCACCGCCGATATTAGCGACCGAGAAATGCGCCGAGAAAACCGACCAAGCAGCGACTCGCTTTTGGGCCGAGATATTTGGGACTATTCATATCGGCACTGCTTTCATCACAGCGTTTATTCTACAATTGGTTCGATTTATACTTTACAGTATAATCCGACCGCTGACTGTGGGCATCTTGCAATTGTTGGCGGACTATTTTATAAAACCACTATTGTCGATTGTGTTTAATGCCCTGATACAGCCTGTATTGATATTGTTATACAATATTGCAACGTCTTTCAAGGATCTTTGCGAGCCTATCGCAGAAGCGATAGGGCTGTTCCTACGGGAGATTGCACACGTGTGTGCGGCGATTCGAATCGTCGAGGTGAAACAGGGTACCGCTCCCTCGGTTGCTTGCACTTGATGATCGAATAGAAGAAAGTGCGAATTCTCAATGACGAAGAAGGGAATAAGGTATCAAAAACTCATAATTCCTTCTTACGTACGACTCGTAAAAAAATAGCACCATGCAAATGTTGGTTTAGGGAAGTAGCTTCGGAATCTCTGTTCCCAAACTATTTTAATTGTATACCTCTCTACCCTGTACTGTATCTGTTTTTCATTGTTTAAGGTTCAGAGGTGAAAAAACTATTATATCTAGGTGATTGACATTATCTTGGTATTTGAACGATTATGAAGGAATCGAGGTAAAACTGAACCGTGATTAAATAGAGTAAAACAAATCTAACCCATTAAGATCCAAGTGTGTTTGCTAAGTACAGGCCTTTCTATTAGGCATTGTTATTTAGAATATCTACAAGGCAATATTTAGAAAGAGGAAAGAACGTTGCGTTCTCTTGAACTTGCGAGATTCCAAAATTCTTTAAACAGCAGATATTGTATCGACTTAAAAAAGGATTTTGTTGGATCCCAAAGGGTTAAGAAGTAACTAAATCCTTTTATCACATGTGCTTATAAAAAAAGAAACTTAATATAAAGCGTAATTTGTGCGTATAAATGGTCACGTCAAGCAAATTATAAACTTCATCCGCTGACCTTCCGTAGATGATGATAAATTATCTGGATCATCGATTCGAGAAGGCATTGTCCCAGGATACAATGATGTGAACTGTAGAAGATTCGGGAACAGCTCGGTAGCAGCTGTTCGAGTTTCAACGAATATAACACATGCCTTAACACCAGGTATATATTTGGTATTATTTAAACTTTACAATATTATCATCAGTTTCATTCATTTTGTTATTTTTTGCTTTTTTTCTGTCTTTTTTTGTTTTTACAGAACAAATTATCCTCTTATAGCAACTAACTTTGTCAATAATAATTAATAATCATCCTTCGTCTCTTTCGTATATCTTACTGTTTAATAAATTATGTACAATCTCACAAACAACAAACGGAGGAACCTAATTACATCATGTAGTTGTTCACACTTCGCTATGTACAGGTACTACTTGGTTTTTACAGAATTGCGCTTTCGCTCCACCTGCGTATGTAGTCGTTAATGCTTAAACTCTGTCATTCGCATATTCTATTTAAAAAAAACAAAATAGAAAAGAGAAAGAGAGAGAGAGAGAGGAGGGGAGAGAAATAGTAAGAGAAAGAGAAAAAAGAGAAAGTCAGAGAAGAGAAAGAATAAGGAAAGAAACAAAACGCCTATCGTCACCTAGTCTCAGGAACTGCAACCTCTTGCTTTCTGTGCATTGCGATCTAGGTGGTTGTGGTCGGAGTCTCCTGGATGGCTAAGGTCTGTGATGAAGGCGCTGATGATGATGTCGAGTCACCTGCAATTACGTGGTCATTCTTAGTAAATGCTAATTTAAAACGCATTAAAAAACGTTATATCATTTTAAGTATATGGAAATTCACGCGTCGAATATTTTTGCAGGTGCGCGCGTAATAAGATATTCGAGTGTTTTATCAAGTTATAAATGTCGAAGAAACGACTGCACAGAGACTATCCATTGGATAAAAGAGTTAAAAGGATCCAATAATTTCACCAATGAATCGAAGAAATATCCTTTCTACTATTAAACAACATCATCAACGTGTCAAAATGGCTACGCGTTCGAGGCTTATCGTTTTGCCTGTGGTTAATCGAGTGACTGTTCTATGTAATATCGTGAGATTTTAGTAGGTCGTATCATTCGTAACGCTAATGTTTCTTCTTAAACCGTGGTAATCCTATTATGATAATATAACGTTCCCGAGTATTACATAATAATATCGATCTCGGTAGGTAAGCTTACCCAAGAGGGCAGCTTCTAAGTCTCCTAAGATCTCCGTTTCCTTGGGATCGATAAGGTTGAAGCGTTGATTAAGGAGCGTGAGGTGGGCAAATACACAATTGAGGTGAGCGTGCAACCCCAAGAGTGCTACCTCTCTGAAGTGGCAGTGGTAAATGTGTGCCACCACATGGTACAGTAGCCGCAGGATCTTACGCACTATCGATTCGAACGAGCTAGGAAATTCATTTGCTGAAACATTCAGGAAACGAACCAATTAATACGATTATGGCTTCGTCTGCGTGTAGGGTCCTGTCAGATCTTGATACCACTCAATGTACTTAACTACTCGACTTCTGACTGCATGTCGCTGTAAATATAGCTTTACACTCTACTCTGTTTATTCATTTTTTAACGATAGTTTATCGGATTTTCTAAAACATGAACTACGTGAATATTAGTGCGCCGTTAGCGTTCTTACAATTTGAAGAAAATGTGTTTAGATGCGACGCTATAAATAATCGTAAACTGTACGTTAACGGCGTGTCACGACTATTTAGTCGCCGCCGTGGCAAGGTAAAACAGATAACTTACCATATTTCGTAGGAAATATAGTTTCGTCACTAACGGTGCGTTGTGTAAAAGTCATAACATAATCTATATATTGTGGCGCTGCCACTCTCGTTTTCTTCCCTTTTTCATCAAACCACAGATAAGTTCTGAAACGATAAGAAGGCGAATTACACGAGTGCGTAATAACGCCCGGCGGAAATGGTAGAAATGATAAAAATAAAGGAAAAGGAAACAGATCGAGGACAAGTAGAAAACTGTTCAAAGAATAAATCCTTCCTCGTTTTTTCTACCTTCTCTTCCTTTCTTTTATTTCTTTTCTGGGTCAGGGCAAGCATTATATTTATTGTGGACGTTCGAAGTAGATTTTGAAAGCGGATAATGTAGAATTTACTAAGGATTACTATCCGAGATAATTTATGTATTTACTATATGATACATTATTTATTGGTGAAATTTACCTGTTCCGTGAATTTCTTATTTAGAGACTGTGGAAATTAATGCTATAACGCGAAATCTTTTTAAATAGTACATACAGTTCAGTGAACAAAAATTCTTAATAAACATAGGAATAAACTGTTTAACTTTTTAAATATTAAAATTACGAATTTTTTATTTTTTTAAATATTGTAGAATAACTTATAGGTGTATATATAATAACAAATGTCCCAAATTAGTTTCATTTCCATTTTTTGCCACGTCGATATTCATCCTATCTTTTTTATTTATATCCGATTCTATTTCTATCATCGATCATAGGCCTAGTTAAAAAAAGCTGTCAACGATCACACGTTATAAACTTTAATTAAGGTTAACACCTCCAGTCATGGAGGAGCAATCTGATGGTTAACGCGTGGATCAATTTGTTGGACGGCATGTATCGTGATTACTAGAACGTCTTGCATACATCGATAAAACAAAAAAGAGAAAGGTAGTTGTATTAATCAAATAGTAGGACAAATTTCAATGAACTTAATTCGTAAAATATTGTACCGGAACCGTGTCATTAGTTAACTTTATAGAACATGATAGTTGTGAAATTATGAAGTAGAGCATCAACTTTCAATTTATAAGAAGAATCTGTTACCTCTACCTTGAATTAATTTCGTGTTGCTGAGTTTTATTATACGTCATCTATGATTATTTAAAAATGTATCATTTCATAAACAAGATTTTTTAACCGAATACAATGCAAATAACATAATCTCTTATCGCAGTATCGATTCGTACAATTTATTTACATTCGACGACTCTTACTGCTTCGACTCATCCAAAAATCGTTCAATGTACATTCTATTTATCCCCTCGATAGTGCACGTCCAAAATCAATTGACCACTCAAGACCATTGAGGAGTGCTTGTTCAGCCATAACGTTTAACTACTTTGTCGCTGTATCTCTTAATTTTCCCTCGCTGCGTTTACCTTATTTTTACGATTCTTTGCCTATTTTTTTTTTTTTTTTTTTTTTTTTTTTTTTTTTTTTTTTT